GCCTGTCCTGACCAGTCTGTGCGGACCCTCCCCAGCCCCTCTCCCAGCCCTTCTCCGTGAACTTGTCCAGCTTCCCGTCTCTTGCTGGTCCGGGAGGGCAGGGCTGCTCCTTCGGTGTCCCCAGCACCCAGAACAGCCCAGGCAGAGAGCAGGTGCTCCACAGCGGTTGCAGAAGGCATGCATGGGTGAAGTTCAAATCTTCTCACTCTGGTTTGGAAAGCCCTGCACCGACTGGCCTGAACCCAGCCTCACTGCTGCCAGCCCCGCACCTCCAGCTGCACCGGCCAGTGTCTCGCTTCCCATCAGAGCCAGGATTTGCTGCCCGGCCCTCACTGCACACCTTCAGCCCTGTGGAGCCTGTCCTTACTCCTCTTGGGGACCCAGTTCAGATGCCACCTCCACCAGAAGCCCTGGCTAAGACAGCCGTTCTCATGGCACTTTGCTGGGTGTCGGGCGCTGTGGTGATTGTGAGCACATTGTGGGTGAAGTTGGTGGTTCTGGGGCAGGGGTGTCAGGCCCACCCTCTTTCTGTTTTGGCCGCAGCTCCCTCGAGGCTGTCATGGGGCTGGAGAGCAGCAGCGAGTTCTTCACCATCTCAGTCAACGGCGTTCTGTATCTGCAGGTGTGTGGGGCAGGCTCAGCTATGGGGGGGGCCACCACCTGGACACAACCGTGGGGGTGACTGGGCAGGGAGGGGTGCTGGTGGGTGCTCAGAGCTCTGGGTGCAGTGCCCTCAGCCTCCAGGCCCAGGCAAGGGTCAGGGCGGCACAGAGCACCGCTAGTCCAGGCAGAGCCAGGCCGAGACCAGGGCTCCTTTCCCCAGACCTGGCCCTCCCATATTGAGGACTGGTGCTTCTGGCCGTAACGAGCCCTTTGGAAGGGACTCAGTGGGCAAGGGGGCGGGGGGCAGTGACAGAGGTCAGCTCTTTGCCCAGGATGACATCATGACCCCCCTGGCCCACTGGGACTTCGGGAAGCAGATGCAGTTATTTCCTACACAAAACCCCAACTGACAGTCTCTTTCTAGAACCATGGGGATTTGGGCAAGGGCTTGAGAAACTGATGAAAAGATGAGATTTCCTAAGAAAGAAAAATTTAGGTACAGATGTGTGGAATAAAGCTCACATGTAAATAGCACTAACTGGGCCAGGCCCGTTCTGAGCACTTAACATAAATTACCCGTTACTCACAGCGCTTTGAGGTAGAAAATATTATTCCCCTGTTTACAAATAAGGGAACTAGGGCACAGAAGCGTTAAGTAATTTGCCCAAGCTCGCACAGCAAAGCCAGGATTGGAGACCAGGCTGTGGCTGCAGGCGGCTCTGGTTGCTGGAAGGCGTTTAGAGGTCTGGTCCCTGGCACTGCTGCATGAACTCAGATGGCACACAGCGTGCCTGGGGTCTTAAGATGCAAATGCCCAGATGCTGCATCTCTGGGAGCTCCCAGCTCACATCTGGGGATGCGACCCTGCTGATGCCTGGGCCACATTCGGAGTAGCCAGGCCAGAGTACCAGTCCCACCGTGGCCAGGCCTGTCGGGGGAAGGGGCACCCTCACTTGAGAGTTCAGCACGCTTCTAGGCTTCGAGTGCAGCAGAGGGAACTGTTTGACGCTCGAGCCCCACTCTGGCCCTGAGCAGAGGCTTGCTCCCCTGCACATGCACTACAGGGAGCCCATTGGTGCCGGGGCTGATGGAGCTGGGGAGGAGGCACTAGACCAGGCATCAGGGGTGCTGGGTTTGAGGGCAAGGCCTGCGGCTCTCGCTCCTGTCCTTGGGCGGGGCGGGGCGGGCATGGTGTGTGGTTGGCGCATCTGCAGGCCGGCGGCATCCAGGCTGACGCTGACCTTCCCCGCAGGCGGGGCAGTACACCTCCGTCTTCCTGGACAATGCCAGCAGCTCCTCCCTCACAGTGCGCAGTGGCTCCCACTTCAGTGCTGTCCTCCTCGGTGTATGATCGGCCACCCCAGGCCCCCCCTCTCGCCGGGCAAACGGAGCAGGAGTGCAAACAATCTTGGGGCCGTGGCGGAGTGGCAGGGGCCACACGCAGGAGGGAGCCCGCCGAACTGCCCACACTGGCCGCCGCAGTTCAACCCAGAGATGCCACTACAGGCAGCCCGAGGAGGTGACACGCAAACTGGCAGTCCCAGACTGGGAATGATTTCAGGATGCCAGCTTAAGTTAAAGGGGAGACGTTTCAGCGTGCCCAGGAGCACGTGCTTTGTCCCTCCCCAGCTGCAGACCTGGGCCCCTCCTGGCCCCAGTGGCCCTGGCAGCCTCAGCTTCATTGCTGTGGCCCAGCCCCAGCTCTTCCATCTTTCTTAGTGTTCTCACGGGCTGCCTGCTGGGAGTGCCAGGACGGAGGGCAAAGGCCACCCAGCCTGCCTGGTCCCCACCTGCCCCTCTCCCAGCCCTGCCTTTAGCCTGCCGTGGACCTCAGGGTCCTGCCCCCCGTGGGACCACGGGGCCCAAGCCTCTTCTTGTGGTCCCGGGGCATAGCAGCCGCAGGCACCAGAGAGACACTGGATGGGGGCTGAAGGGGGACAGTGACAGTCTGGAGCTGTTTTCACTTGTGACATGTGCAAAGTCACTTGCACGCTCACCCAGCCTTTCCACATAGGAGCTGCACCCTCCCCCTCCGTCGCCCACCCCCTTGCGGCCCTGGCTCACTGCTGGGATCCACCCACCAGATGAAGGAGCTAGAACACCCTTGGAGGTCAGGGATGGCCAGGCCCTGCCTGCCCATCTGCACGGATGAAGCGGACGCTTCCCACAAGCTGACAGGCTCTCGGTGCCCAACCGCTGCCTAGCCCCACTGGGACCCAGTGGGCTCTGGGGCTCTTGAAAGAATCTTCCCCACGGGGGTGGGAATGTGGCCCCAAGCTCAGATGGGTGTCCTGGGAAGACCGGGTCCCAAGTCCTTCTGTGCTGCTGCAGCAGTGATGGGATGCGGGTAGCAGTGGTGATGGGGGTCTGGGAGTTGCTGCAATTTCTTTCAAGATGCAGGGCCCCCGCTGCCTGCTGAGGAAGTTACCCGACCCCTGTACCCACACACAAAACAGGCTACAGGAATGGGGTACCATAAGATGTCCTGGGGGCCAAGCTGGTCTGGCAAGCCATTGCTCAGGCCTGGGAGAGAAGGGGGCAATGGCTGCAGTCACCTCTCACCATAACCTTCTAGCTGGCCTTGGGAAGAGCAGGTGACTGTGGCCAGGCCTAGCTGATGCCCCGGGGCCCTAAGCTTCCAGCGCCACAGTCAGGCTCAGACATTTGTGCCCTTTGGCAGTCCTGGCACAGTTCTCAGTAGGACTCGTACCCGCCCTACCAGGAAGTGCCAGCTGGCCGGTGTCCTGCCTGCCCATGCTCTTTGATAAGGGATGGTGTGGCCACGCCCTTTTCTGGATTTCACTTTGTATCCAGTGGGCACAGATATTTTAGAGAAGCTATCTTTTACCCTTGAAAAACCCACAGATCTCTTTCGTTTTCTCAATATGAGTGTGTCATACAGCAATTTATTGAAGTATTTATTGTATTATATTGTCAGGTGGAATATATATATATATATATATATATATATACACACACATATATATATAAACTGACTTTTGAGAATTATTTTATGATTATACAAAATTACAGAAACAAAGGGCAGACCTTAAAATTTAGAGTCTTAGTCATTTAGGCCAGGCTCACCAAGGACGGAGGAGTGAGCTCTGGGAGGGGAGGCGGAAGGATGTTTCCAGCCCATGGGGGCCCTCAGACCCATGGAGAAGGTGGCAGGGAGAGCCCGTCCAGGGAAGCCCAGCGCCAAGCCTCTCCCAGCTCTAGGACACTAGTGGTCTGGGGATTAGGGATACATGGTCACAGACTAGTGCCTTGTTTGCTGTAAGAAAATGTTTATTGAATAAATTGTCCCACTTCCCAATTCTGAGACGCTGAGGTTCTTTCCTTCCGCGACACCACACCGCGTCGTCCCAGTCCTCAGCAGGAGTGAAACCTGGCTCTTAACACTCTGGGGAAGGGTGTGCAGGAAAAACTCCCGAGGTACTTGTAGGGAGGCCAGTCCCACTGACAGAACTGACGAGGTGATAAGGCCATGTGCGCAGGCTGGGCAGGGCCAGCAAGCATGACAAAACAGCTTCAAAAGCAAATTTTCAGAATCTTACATCATCCTGAGGCAGCATTTACACAGACCTAAAAGCTGCTTTACTAATTAATTACAGCAATACCAATGGCCTGCTTTACATATAAATAAGGGCTTGTAAAGAATTTTAAAGTTTGTTTTTCTGAGTAGGCTCATCATGAATTTTTAACATCTTTGACAGAAGTGTGATCGTGACCATCAACCTCAGCCCAGCACAGAACCAACTGACTGCACATTCCTAAGACGGGAGGCTGGACTTGGCCACAGGGAACAGCAGCTTAACTGCTCAAACCTGGAAAAGTACGCATTTTACACCCAGGGGACCCAGACTTGAGACCCAGTAAACCCAGCCCTTCTTGGAGTCCCTCAGCCAGACTGCATCTGTCATCACAGAATTGGAAATAAGCAGAATCCTGTGGTGTTTCTGGAGGGCCCGTTGTGGGCACACTGCTCCACAGAATGACGACCTCATATTGTTCCCCTAACTGAGCCTGAGACCATGCCGCATAACGTTTTGTAACCTTATTTTTGTATAGAAAACTGAAAGCAGCCAGAGTGCTCCAGCAGCCCTGGGCTCTGGTCGTGGCCTGTCCAATCCAGTCATTACCTCGATTTCCTCACTGTAAAATGCCACTTCCCCAAGCAGTTATCAGGAGGGTGAAACAGCACAGGAAAGGTACGCATAAACTACAAAGCACTGCACAACGAGCGGCTTACTAAGGATGGGCCGTTATCACTGGCCTGTAGGCCAAGATGCCTATAATGGTTTTAACAAAGAGAGACCCAAAGCATATTCGAAAGCAAACACAACCTCTGAAAGGTCAAGAGCTGCTCAAAATGTAATAAGATAACTCAAAAGTCTAGAAAAAAAAACAACGAAACCTTTATTTACAACCATGGGAATCCAACAGGAGTACAAGAAACACATAATGTGCACAACACACAAAATGAACATTGGAAGTCAACACCACGCCGCGCTCCAGCCCGCAGCACCTCAGTGCCCTATCCGCACCACCATCACGGTGACATTGTCCGCCGAGCCCCGCTGCACCGCCTTGTTGGCCAGCCTGTTGCAGGCGGCTTCGTAGCGGGCATCCACGGCGGGCTTCCCTTCTCGGCTCTGGATCTTCTCATCCTACCGGACAGGAAGGGGGCACTGGTGAGTGGGGACCCTGCACCCCATCACTCTCCTGAGACACCACTGCCACAAGGAAGAACTGCTCCCCAGTCCCCATCAGGGCAGGCAGGACAAACTGACCGGTGAGTCCCCGGGCTGGAGTTCCCACTCCCAACTATAGGGAACGTGGGGGAGGAAGGAGGGCTTCGGCACTTCTCCTCTAAAGCCCAAGTGCAGCTGGGACGACTGGCACCCTCTCCCTTGTGACACTTCTTACCTCAAGGCAGGACAAGATGAAGTTCACCGCTTCTTCTGGGTTAAAGACCTTGAAGAGGCCATCGCAGGCCAGCAAAATAAACCTACAACACAGAGAAGAAACGTACGTGGGTTTCAGCAGCAAACTTTATTAAATGGCCTGGCAGTGGAGGTAAAAATATTTGTCCAACTACTCAAAGGCTAAACATTTTTTAAAACCAATTTAACTTCTACGAGACAAAGGTTAAAACTACTTAAAAATATTTGTAGGTGAAACGTTATACATCAAAACTGGGACTCTCTGTTCACCAAAAATCATGGATTAACCCAAACCCACTTCTTAGACAAACTCTAGGAAAATCACCAAATAAAATCCATCAGGTGTTATGATAAATACATGCTAAATTTCTATCACCACATGCCTCGAGCCATTTCCCAAACATACTGCGTGGGCCAAAAGGTTCGTTCGGTTTTTTTTCGTAAGATGGCTCTAGCAGCACTCAGTTGTCTTTAACTTCATTCGAAACAATTTTGTGAGATTGTATGTGACAGCTGTCATATCAGCGTACATTAAAAAAAAAGACTTATCGGGCTTCCCTGGTGGCGCAGTGGTTGAGAGTCCGCCTGCCGATGCAGGGGACGCGGGTTCGTGCCCCGGTCCGGGAAGATCCCACATGCCACGGAGCGGCTGGGCCCGTGAGCCATGGCCACTGAGCCTGCGCGTCCGGGGCCTGTGCTCCGCAACGGGAGAGGCCACAACAGTGAGAGGCCCGTGTACCGCA